CAGTTTGGTTTTGTGTTTTTCTGCAGAACTGGCAGTGGTTAGGCTGAGTGGCTGTATGGTTATGCCTTGTTTTGATGCACTTAGAACGTGCATTTGGGTTCAATGCGTCAGTTTCAAACTCTGTTTTAATGATTAGGTTCTTCTGGTGTCCGAGTCTTTGAGCAAAGTTAAGGACAAACTAGTGTTTGTATCCCAACTGTCCCAAAACTTCTCAAGATAGTTGCTTCTCCAGCCTTATATCAGTATGTAGTGTTGGTGGGTGTAGAGTTCAGTGCTGCCTGACTGTTATAGAACATTCCTTGAAGGCTTTGTTGTTTATTCATCCAGAATCATCATGGAATGGCTTGGGTTGGAAGGGACTTCATTAGGTTCACACAGGCTCACTTTCTGAGCCTGTCGAGGTCTCTCTGGATGGCATCCCTTTCCTTTCATGTGTCAGCCACACCACTCAGCATCATCATTGGTGTCATCAGCAAACTTGCTGAGAGTGCAGTCAAGCCTGTCATTGGTGAATGTGTTGAAGAGCACCAGTCCCAAGACAGACCCCTGGGGGACGCCAGTCATCTCCAGCCTCCACCTGGATTCAGTGCTGCTCACCACAACCCTCTGTCTATGGCCTTCCAACCAATTCCTTATCCCCCTCAAATCCATCTCTCACCAGTTTAGAGTTAAGAACGTGGTGGGGGGACCATGTCAAAGGCCTTGCACAAGTCCAGGTAGATAACACTGATTGCCTTCCCGTTGTCCACCAAAGTCTTTGTTCCGTCACAGAATGCCACCAGATTGGTCAGGCACAATCTTCCTTGGTAAAGCTGTGCTGGCTGTCTCAGATCACCCACTCATCCCTCACGTGCTTTAATGTGTCTTGTAGGAGGATCTGTTTCATGATTGTTAGTAGAGTATGTTGAGGGCTGTGCTATTTTCTCTTTTGGTGCTGCTGCTGAAAGTGCTGCAGACAGATCCGTTGCCCTGTTGCTCAAAGTGGAGGAGCTCTGTATGTACAGTTGTTTGTAGATCAGGTAGAAGAAGTGTCCTGTCTCTGTCCACCCTGTTTACAAGGGAAGATAGTGGTAGGACAAAGGGGAATGGTTTAAAACTGAGACAGGGGAGGTTTAGGTTAGATATTAGGGAAAGTTTTTCACACAGAGGGTGGTGATGCACTGGAACAGGTTGCCCAAGGAGGCTGTGGATGCCCCATCCCTGGAGGCATTCAAGGCCAGGCTGGATGTGGCTCTGGGCAGCCTTGTCTGCTGGTTGGTGACCCTGCACATAGCAGGGGTGTTGAAACTGGATGATCATTGTGGTCCTTTTCAACCCAGACTGTTCTATGATTCTATGAAGAGCATCTAAAAGCATACATATACGTGTATAACTAGCAAAAATAATAGTGTCACAATTCTGATAGCCATAACTAACATTAATCTCTGATAAAGAAAATACCGTGTCCAGAAATTGGTGTTACTGTTCTTTCCCTGCGCTGGCATTGTTCCTGGAATCTTTCCTCTCCTGTTTGTGGGGATGTCATAACTTTCTATAGTGCTAAATGGGCATTTCTACATATGTATAAGGATAAAAATCTTGCACGATGGCAAAAGTTGCTCTCCTTGGCAGATCAAAGATAGAAGGGAGAGGTGAATGAAAGTGGTGGTGTTGGACTGTAACGGTCCAGCTTTGGCTTTGCAGGGCTTGAGGTGATTAATCTGTTATCTGAAAATGGTGTTGGGGATCAGAGGGAGAGGGGAGTTTGTGAAGAAGAAATGAATGCAGAGATGAGAAAAGAGCAGTGAGGGTAAATGTCCTTCAAGAATTTGATCAATGAGCTTTTAAGCACTAAAATACAAGGAAGCTGAGAATGTTCGGTGCCTAAAATATATTTAGTGTTTGTTTTCTTGGATACTTGTCATTGGTTTGTCTTGAAAGGTCTCTGTGTTGAAGATCTGTAACTGGAGGGAGGGGCTGGCAGTCAAAAACCAGTTTCAGGCAATGTGCTTGGAGGTTTAGATCTCCAGGTAAGATGCTCTTATCTTTTAATTAAAGAAGTAGGTAGAATTAGGGGTGATTTTAAAGAGGAAAATAAGACAGTCATAGATAAAAGTGAGTTTAAAAAAAAAAAAAAAAGATAATGCCAAAGGAAATGGAACAATCCTATCTGGTTGGGAAAAGTATAAAAAAGGAATAATTTCCACCAGAAAAAAAAAAAAAAAGTGTATTAAACTTAACATTTAAATATTGTCAGTTCATAGAAAATTTTCCCTTTTTGGAGAAAGGTAAAGAAATCTCAAGAGCTATGGCAAGTTCCCTCTTCAAAAGCACAGGGAAATAATTCTGCTGTATTTTGGTTTAAAGAAACCACGTTGTAAGATATTTCATTTAAGCAAATGTATAAGTGCACACTATTGTGATGAATCCAAACCACTTTGTATCTTCTTATTACCAGTTTAGAAATCTTCAGTGTTTATCCCAATTGTAATGAGACTAATTGATGTGTTTTTCAATAGGGTTGCAGCTGGTCAAAGCTGAATTGAGCACAGAAGACTTGTTGTCACCTCTTGTGTCCCAGAGTCAACCAGTAAGCAATAGGAAGATGCACATGAAGACAAATCTTAGGGTATATGCTTGGAAATTGCTCTCAGTGTAGGAGAGATGAGATAATCCTGTGTTAGGATCATCTCTGACTGCCTCACGCTCTTCACAGTTAGTGGTAAAGCAATGGGCTTTTTATCTGTGTTCTAGGGATGCTCTACAACATCAAATCAGTACAGTGTGTGTGTGCTGAATTTTACACACGTGGGTAGTTATATAGAAAATCAGTAGGATAACTGGTGGAAAATCTATTCTGCTCCTAGCTGTTTGCATTATTGATGTCTAAACTATTAAAATAATATTTCTCTAGTATTTGTTTGGACCATTTTTGTTATGCACGAGGAGCTCCCACAGCTGTGGCATGCTATTATTTTAACACATGCTTTAAGGGTAACACTGACGTAATTTCCCTGAGTGGAGGAAGGTCAGTTCTATCAGCTCTGGAAGCTAAAAGTAGTTTTTGCCATATCAAAGAAAGTGTTTCTTTAAATAAATCAATAACTGTGTGGATTTCTTAATCTGCCAAACAGTCTCATGAGGAATTACCCTTTTCGTAAAGGATGTAAAAGCTTGCCATGATGTCATTCCCATTGTGTTAATCGTTGGTGTTCTCACACGTTGTCCCAGATAACGACTGATTCCCCAACAGTATTCTGAGGAAAGCTGTCATTTGCTGCTCGGGCTGATAGAGATGATAGGTCAGCTGGCTGCTGGGACCCTTTCAGCAGATCAGGATGGTTTTTAATGTGGCGAAGTTGTGCGTTAGAAACAGAGGAAATCTGAGATGTGTTCGTTGTACTTTGCTCTGCTGTGTGTGGGCATTATGCTGTCATATGCATGCACCAATCTGGCTGTACTCCTTATTCCCATAGGGAAGTTACTTGGTTAATTTTTAACATGGGCACAACAGCTGTGTAATGAAAGGTTAAAATTCAGCCTAAGTTCTGCAAAGCAATCTCTGGGTGCTGCTAGTGTATGAACGGTGTAAGGAGGGGGCAGTATGTATCGTGTTCCATTGCTTCATTTACATTCAGACATTGACATTTTTGTGTCTGTTCATATAGAAATTGCAAATATTTTGATTTTTCCATTTATCATAGAATCACAGAATGGCTTGGGTTGAAAAGGACCACAGTGATCATCTAGTTTCAACCCCCCTGCTATGTGCAGGGTCACCAACCCCCAGACCAGGTTGCCCAGAGCCACATCCAGCCTGGCCTTGGATGGCTCCAGGGATGGGGCATCCACAACCTCCTTGGGCAACCTGTGCCAGTGCCTCACCACTGTCTGTGTGGAAAAACTTCCTCCTAATATCTAACCTTAACCTCCCCTGTCTTACTTTAAAACCATTCCCCCTTGTAATAGTATAGATCAGTACTAAAAGAGAGTTCATTCTGGTTGTTTTTATTCTTACCTGAACAAAACTAAGCTACTTGGCACAGTTTCTTTTGGTATTACTGTTTTTTGGCATGAGTTTACCTCGTCAAATTCAGTTCTCATGGAAATCTTCCAGTGGCCTTTGTGTGTGGGAGAAGCAGCTAATGTGAATAAAGGCTCAGAAACATTTCTGTAAAATGTGATTTTTCTCTCCTTGGTTCTGCCTTCATCACCGGACCATATGTTCAAAAGACAAAAAAGCCAAAAAACAAAGAGGTTTTTTTTGCTCTTTTGCTAGTTTACTCAACTCTGTGTCCTTTCAATTTGGTCAGTTCCTTTAAGGAAGAAACAAATAAATGCAATCCTCTTTTTGGACAGTCTGTGTATTCTGAGCTGTATCTGTATACATTTGTTACACTGACTCAAATGTCCTGTAATGCACATACCCTGAGGAAATAAATGCTTTTCACTAGTTCCTGCTATACACACTTGTTTTCTGGTGTTTCTTTGTGTTCTTCTTCTTTGTGTTTTTTTTTAGGGAAGCACTCTTTAATTCTAGGTCTGTCTGCTGCTAATGTTTTGGATCACTCATCAGGATTTTCAGTGTTCTTTGAACTGCTCTTGCCAGAATGGAATGCTATATTAAAAGTTCATTTCAGAATCCTTTAAGGCTTCCCCTGCTCCTCAAAACCATAAAAGAGAAATTTTTAAATTCATGCTCACAAGACCTGCAAAACTGATGGCAGCTTGCTTTGAAGTGTCTATTTTCAGTTCATATGGCTTCTATTACCGCTTTTCTGGGGTCTTTTAGCTGACTGCCTTGTAAACTGGGGTATCTCTTGTCGTTCATTCCATTGGAAGATTCTTATCTTCATATAATGGATATCAGTTGTTTGTGTTTTATTTACATTGGATATTTGACTACTTTAATGGTAAGAGAATAATCTAATCTGTTCTAAATGTTCATTTCAGATTTCATGTTCCGTCTTATATCAAGCACCTACTGCTGAGAGCTGGAAGGTCTACTTAAGGTAGGTGGCACAGCAATATTTACCCTTCCTTACTGGGTTCTGTTCTAAGTAGAGTGGTCCGTACTGATGATGTATTTATTTTGTGCACAAGAGGAATTTAAAAGGTGTCTTCTCACCTACCAAAATGACAGAGCTGGAAACTTGCTGACCAGACTGCCATCCTGGCTTTGGAGCAAAATGTTAGTGGTTCTCTGCTTTTTGAGTTCTTCTTGTACATGCAGCTTGCCTTAGGCAAAGTTTTTGCTGTAGAGGGGCCTTAAGCTGCATGCAGGAGTAGAGAATTGGGTAATCACAGCATTCTTTGTATTACAGGACTCTGGTTTTGGTTGTTTTGTGATTCCTTGGGACTTATCTCTCCCAGAGTGAATGGTTTTATTTGCTGATGCCCACTTATATTCTGTGTATGGATGTTTGGAATGCACTTAAGTGTACCTAGAAGAACTTGTGGGATCCATTTTTATTTTATTGTGCTGACTTAGCTTTCTTTCCTCCTACATTGTCAGTGGTTGCTGGTTTGTGAGCATCTATTACATGGTATTCTTCTCTAGGCTTTGGCTTTAACGTGTAACAGAATCAATCTCTTGCCTCTTCAATAGTAGTTCTGCATGTAGCTTACTGGTACGGAGAAACCTTACTTAAAACTTGTGTATCACCTGCTTTAAGTTAATATTCTCCTTGCCTGGATTGTAATATGCTTGGTAACAGCAGATGTGGCTGCTTGTGTTGTGCAAGCACTGGATCCCCAGTAGGATTTCAGCCTGTTATGTTGCACTTCAGCTTTAGTGCATTGAAATGAAAAGCTTGATGGGATCTGTCCATATTTTCACTTTCAGGAGTCAACAAAGGGTCACTTAATGCCTCATGACTGCCTACATTTGTAAGGCCAGGTGTCTTTTTTGTCTAATTTCTTATTCCATGCGTGGTCCGGATGTTGGCCTTACTTAAATTTTCTGTTTTATAGTAATTACTTCTACTTTCTAATTAATTTCTTCCCTTTTTCTGGTTTGGGGTGCTGTTGGTATGTGCTGAACAAGTAGTTGGAAATCCTTGGGGAAAATAAAACTTTCACCACTCCAAGGAATGAATTGAATGCCTTAAAAAGTGGTTGTTTTCTGTCTTGTCAGCTGAACTGGAGAAATCTGAAGTGCTTTTGTTAGAATAAAAGCATCATTGCTGGTATTTTTATCAGTGAAGACCAAAATTTGTTGCCTTATACGTTACATTGAATTACATTTCAGATGGAATTACAGAGGTGGTATTTTAGCTTTTTTAACAAGGAATAATGCTATATGGTAAATAGACAAAGCAAAGGGGAGGGGGAGAAAACAGGGCATTCCCTCTGCAGTTCTTTATATAAAGGCCTGCAAATGAAACCTGTGGTTTCAGGTTTTTTACACTTCCTCTTTTGGTTTGACCTTTTAAAAGGAACAGCTACTACTAGTGATGTCATAGGTAAAAAGCACACGTGTATGTTTTGTGAGCTGAGTTTGGTCTTTGGAATACAGAGTTTGTAAAAGGCAGAAGTGAGTCATATCCTGGTAGAAGCACTGCAATGGAGTATTGATGGGTTTGCTAGGTAAATAACTTGCAGTGCCTTCCCAGATAAGACATTTTGGAAAAGCAGCCCTGTGAATAACAAGGTTTTGAAATAAAAGGGGCAAGTAAAAAGAAACAGCAAAATACATTAAATGCAAATTGCAAGAACTTCCAATTTGTCAGGTTAATGCTGAAGCGTGGATTATTTTTTGACTGGGGATTTGTTAGGAGAAAAAGATTAGGGCTGCTTACTCTGATTGATATTATGTATGCAAATACCAGAATGACAGTTCCAGTGGAAATGGGGGAAAAAAAAAGTGCTGAGTCTCTTGCTGTGTTAAGAGACCATTATTGTAAATTATATATTCAAATTACCAGAGTTTAAGCTCTTATGTATACCACCATGGTCTTTTCATTACACAGTCATGTGTTTTGTTCCACAAAACCAGAAGCTCATTGGGTACTAAAAACATTTCTCTATTCACTGCACTCTTCGAGCCCTCCTCTGGCAGAACGGGTTTTTCCTGTTAAGTTTGCAGATAGTGGCTGCTTTGGCCTCTTGTCTTACATTAATATTTGTATCTGGCGTGGATGAATCACAGAACTTAGGATCAAATGATTACATTTCAGGCCTCTACTCACACGTGCCATTTTCTTGTTGTAGCACTTCAAACATTTGCATTCAAAGCAAATCCCTCACTAATTTGAATAGCACCTGAAAGTACTTGGCAGTTCTGTATTTAACCCCCAGGCTATCAAGGCATGTGTCCACGAAAGAAATACACATGGTTGATTGTGCAAAGCTTAACTAAATAACTCTGTTAACATCATCCAGCAACCCTGAATGCGTAGATGACACTGATTGCTTCAGTTCATAAAGTGTTCTTTGTCTTCTCCTTGATGCTGAATATTTATTGATTAACAAATGCAGAATAAGGTGGGACTGTGAGCAACCATTGAGCTTTATGAGTGTAAGTAATGGTGTGGGCATACCTGGTGTGTAAGGAGGGATGCCACGGGCAGTAGGTGGTGCTTGCACTTCCACCATGAAGCTGTACCCCAAAAAACCCCTGTTCTCCTAATTATATTCCTGCTGGTGATATCGAATGCTTTGCAACATCCTGGTTTTACTTTTATTTTAAATGGAATTAAACCAGTATCTGTCAGGCAGACTTGCTGTATTGACACATTACTCATTCCAAAACTGTCAGATCAATGAATTAGGATTCTTATTTGTTAAAGTAAGAAGTGTTTGCTTCAAGCCAATAGCACTGGTGTGCTTATAGCTCCTCCTGGCTTCCGGAAGTGGGATTTTGCTGGATTTGTATCTGGTTTATTCTTCTGGACTTCCAAGGCATTGGACATTTTTCCATCAAGCTTATGTTAACTTTAAACTCATCCAGGCAGGCTGGGCTCACAAGTGTGAGTGAGTTCATGGGCAGTTCAGTGCAGGATGTGCTCTTTTCTCTGGCTGGGTTCCTGCTGTGCTGTATCTGTATTGGCAGATGTCACCACAGCATTCATTATGCACAGTTTTAAAAGCAATGAACTTGAATTAAACAAACACAGTCTGTGCCATGTGATGCTTAATGCCTTCCTGAGCTCTCTGTTCTGGCCATTGCTCAGGATAGCTGTTGTTCATGAGGTTGCCCCCAGAGCAATTGTTTTTTTTACACAGAAGTTAGTGGGCTGGGAGGAAATAAATTTAAGTGCTTTCTCCTTAGTTGTCTCAACCCTCAGTGAAGTTCAGTGCAGCCTGTCTGGATTGTCTGGAAATACGTAAAGGAGGTACAGTGAAGCAGAGGTTTGTACCTTCCATCTGGAGGTGCTAGGAGGTTTCTGTACGCCAAAACACATTATTTGTTTTACTGCTAGCCCTTCTGGTAAATATAAGTAAGAAGTATAAAGCAGTAAGTAATGCTTGTGAACCTATAGGTTGTATTCCTTTGCAGTACAATTTGGATGGATCTGTAGAATTGTATTCACAGAATCACAGAATGGCCAGGGTTGGAAGGGACCTCAAGGATCGTGAATCTCCAACCCCCTGCCACATGCAGGGCCACCAACCACCCCATTTAATACTAGACCAGGCTGCCCAGGGCCCCATCCAACCTGGCCTTGAACACCTCCAGGGATGGGGCATCCACAGCCTCTCTGGGCAGCCTGTTCCAGCACCTCACCACTCTCTCTGTAAAGAACTTCCCCCCTGACACCCAACCTAAATCTTCCCTCCCTCAACTTGAAACCATTTCCCCTCATCCTGCTGTTCTCAGTCCTTTCAAAGAGTTGATCTCCCTCCTGTTTGTAGGCTCCCTTTAGGTACTGAAAGGCTGCAATGAGGTCACCCCGCAGCCTTCTATTCTCCAGGCTGAACAAGCCCAGCTCCCTCAGCCTGTCTTCATAGGGGAGGTGCTCCAGTCCCTGGATCATATTGTGGCCCTCCTCTGGACCCTCTCCAACAGCACTGACACCTTTTCATTAGAAAATGATTCTTCAAGTCTTGGGGCAGCTAATTTTCTCATCATCCCAGCCCTGCAAGTACATACCTGTAGGAATCACAGTGTTGACCTGCTCAAATCAGGAAGAGTGTGTGAGAGAAGTGCAGCTGCCTACACATATTTTCCAGAGTGATGACTGTGGTGCTTAGCTGTTATGGTGATAGGCTCTTATTTGTACTTGTAATAACGTGGGTTGCATCCACCTTCACTGTTTTAAAAGGCAAATTACTTCTGGTTCCTTATGGTTGTTCTGCTCCACTCTCCTACTGTATTTTTCATTTCTCTAAAAATAGACATACTGCTCTTACGGCTGCGGTTGTATTTGCAGTCAAGTTTGCTGTAGCTCTATTTCTGTGAGAGCACTTCACTTATCTAGCTAGTAAGGTGTTTGGCCTTGGTTATGTTTTGCTTAATGGATTAGAAGCTGTAGTGCCTGTTACTTGCTGCAGGAAGTGCACAAGGCTCTGTAACACTGGTCAAGGAAAACTGCTGAAATTTCGATTTGTTCCCTCAGCCCAATCTTATACAAAAAAACCCCTAATGATTATGCACTTTGCTTTACCTTCCAGAATATCCAAATTTTGGGCACATAGTAGATCGTAGAATCACAGAATGGCCTGGGTTGAAAAGGACCGCAATGATCATCTAGTTTCAACCCCCCTGCCATGTGCAGGGTCACCAACCAGCAGACCAGGCTGCCCAGAGCCACATCCAGCCTGGCCTTGGATGGCTCCAGGGATGGGGCATCCACAGCCTCCTTGAGCAACCTGTTCCAGTGCCTCACCACCCTCTGTGTGAAAAACTTCCTCCTTATATCTAATCTAAACCTCCCCTGTCTTACTTTAAAACTGTTCCCCCTTGTCCTATCATTATCCACCCTTGTAAAAAAGATGAACTCAGAATCAGCCTTTGAGTGCATGTTGATGTGTGTTAACTGGATTCTTGTAAACCAAATGCTTGAAGGGGATTTCTGCAGAGCATCAAAAGGACCAAAGTTCAAACCAGACCATAATCTTTTCAAGGCTTGACAATTGCTGTTGTTAGCTGTAAACCTTCCTGTTATCTTTCCTAATGACTTCTGTTACTGGTTTTGTGTCTTGAGTTGTACCTTGAGCAGTAATGAGTGCCCTCATGCTACAGACTTTGCCTACTAAATATAAGGAGAGGAAAACCAGTGGGCACAAAACCATACTGACAATCCACAAAATCCTGGAATTGTCTTACCAGTAATTGCATTTTGTGTATATGTGTTTAGCTACCCCTGCCTCGGTGTAAAACTGATGGAAAATCGTATGATAAAGTTGTACCAGCTGTTCTAATGCTTCTTTCTTTCTCATCTGCTCAGAGGACACAATAACAGGTAGAAGTGAACAGTGTGTTGAAATAGTTTCAAATCAACCTCACCTTTATGTCCAGATGCTTATAGATAACTTGTCTTGCTTATTCTCTCCGTTCTTTGGAACCTTGTTTCGTAATTCTTCCCCATGTATCATCAGTCTTTAGCTTCTAGCTGTTTTGAAATGAAATGCTTTGAGTTTGCTTGCTAATCTTATAGCTGCGCAGCCTAAACTTATGAAAAGCTTTCTTCTGCTTGCTGTGTTTGTGCTCTCAACTACTTCCATTTAAAATGTTCCAACTACACAATGGAGCTTTGGGCCAATTTGTGTTGTGCACAGCATTATGGTACTGTGTCTTCACATGCTTGAATTAATTTTATGAAATCTTTTTACAGTAGCAGGACTTGCTTTTTATTATTTTGTGTGCTAGTCAGACATACTGCTGTCTTATGTATAGAATAGGTGACTGTCAGAAGTCATGTGGGTTCCTTAGTTTCCTTCTCCCTGAAAGCTGTGAAAGAGAACTTGCTTCTATGACAAGATATAGAGTGGACAACTCAAATTCCCTGGGTAAGATTCTAGATAAAGGCAGCTTGGGCATTGTTTCTTTATTAGGGACTATGAGAGGGCACGGGAAAGCAAGTAACAGTCTAAACTGTATCTTGATTGCATTGAACCAGATATCCCAGTGGTAAAGAGCACTCTAAAGGGATCAGCTAACAAAACTTAGGCTCAGTAGGCACCACTAAAAGGCACCACTAAATTGCTGCTCTTCAGCATGTGTGAAAGCTGCACTGCAACAGCTCACAGCTGTATTGTGAAAGGTGTGATTGCTAACTGAGATTCCTATTTAAAATAAAAAGGTCATTTCTTATTTTAGTATAATAGTATTAGGCATGTGGAAAGGAAAAGGGCACTGAAAAAGTCATGGTTGTCAGCAGGACTCCAGGTTTGGTGTTCTAGATTATATTTGTGTTTATTATAAGCAGGTGGTAGTGTCATCATTTCCCTCTTTCAGGATCAGGCCGGTCGGTTTAACTTTCAGGATAGGATGATAAAAGCCTGGCAGTGTCTCAGTAGGTGTCAAGGTCCAAAGAAATTAGAATAGCTGTGGCCATGGAGATTTTTCCTTTCAGGTTACTCTCTTATTCTTTGATCTCTGCAAGATAAATGTCCAAAAGAGATGGAGGGCTTTTTCTGATATTACTGACACTTCATGCATTTTGACTTCAGTTTCTAGTAGTCTCCTGATGTTGTTTTGTCAATAGCGACATTACTGGGAGTCTGAATGGTATTGTATCATAGTTATTTTAAGCAGAACAATTCAAGTTGTACTCATCTGCCTTTAATGTACGCTGACTCTTATAAATCATCTTCATGTAAATTAGAGTTGGACTCTTATTATGGTGAAGAGTGTACCCTACAAACCTCTGCATAGCAACTTTTGTCTTTGGAAAGCAAACAGGATCTGAACTCGCACCTCCTTTTTGTATGGTGTTAGAGGCTGTGTGTTAATTATTTAATACATTAAACACTGAATTCTTCCAGAAAGGAAGTAAGTATGTTAATTCATTGGGGTTAAGCTCTTTCTGAGGAATAATTTCTCCTAAAAAAGTCTTGACCTATATGATAGGTAAGAAGCAAGTCTCTGTTAAGGACTAATCTGTTTCTAATTGCAACCTGATCCTTGGTTGACGAGAGCAGTATAGTAAATCAGTCTTTTTATCCTATCAGCTGAATACCAATCTGTGTACGAGAATAAAATTTGACAGAGTAGCTTTTCATTTTGCAGGTTTGCATGCCTGTGGTTCTGCCAGTCAGAGTGGATTTGTGCCCTTTCATGGCCAGAAGCTTGTATGTGCTCTGCTTTGAACCATTCCCAGTTTTATGTTCTGCTTCTCCAGGCAGCTCATTCCTGAGCACAGGATCTGTTTGTATCCAGCCCGAGTCCTCGTGCTTCTGGCTCTGTGCTAAATATTAAACAAATGTGACCCTAAAAGATGATGTTTTTAAACAGAGTGACCAGAGTATTTTCGGGGGAGGCTTGTTTTACTGAGAGGCCTGCTTTCTCCCAGAGCTCTTGTATGTGTATAAGTAGTCAATGAAGATTTGGATGTCTGGGGGGCAATGGGATGGAAATGATCTGGGCTTCAGTCAGAGGTTTCCTATTAATAAGGTTTGAAGAGAGGCCAACCGAAGATACCTGGAAGAGTTGCTTTAATTATTTGTAATGTGGGATGTGTGGAAATGTGTGTGTATGGTGTACCAGTTTGTACCAGTTACTGTTCTACTTCTCTAAGGAAGAGAGCTTGATACGAAATCCAGAGTCTGAGAGACAGAAAAATGACAGAATCCTGGTCATAATACAGGGAATTCATATTTTTGACATCACTTTTGATAACCGGTGCTTTACCTTGGAAACATAAAATAAACACTGCTCTCCTTCTGGAAAGGTGAAAGAAGGGCATCACAAAACCAGTAAGTTACATTGCACAATGTGCTGATGGTATCTATATCTGTAGTGATGACAGCAGACAAACCTGCATAGAATGCTCTGCCATAACTGTATTCCAGCAACATGAGTAATTTGGATCAGAAGATACTGGTTTTGCTTTTCTAAAACTCCCACTTGGAGGTATTCTCAGGCGAAGAAAATCTGTGATAGCTACATTCAGTGGAGCACAAAAGGTTTGAGAAGTAGCTTAAACAGTGCAAATACTGAACTGGAGTTATGTTTTGAGAATCTAACACTTTCCTTTGCAATTCTTGTGTCCCCTGATTCTTAAGGGGCTGGAGCTTGATGATCCTTGAGTTCCCTTCCAACCCAAGTCATTCTATGATTAGATAGTGGGCAGAATGAAGAGCTGTTAAGGAGGGGAGGGGAAGGTTCAGTCAACTGGCATGCTCATCTGTTATCAAGTACACAACTACATCATTCCTTCTAGTTCCTCACCTGTTTTCTTTTTTTTTTTAAAAAAAAGAAATTATATTTAATAATTAAGCTTGCTTCTGAACTTTTAAAATTGTTAGGAGAAAATAATTTCTATATTATTTTGGTGAATTGAGTAGAGTTAACTAATGCGTTACATCCAGGTGAATTGTTCTTCCCCTTCAAAATGGCTTTTCAAGAGGAAATTCATGGGCATTGAAGAACACTTTAAAAGAAGTTTGCAGGGTGGGCCCAAATCTTGGCCTCAGCTCTGGAGTTTTTGCTCTCGTGAAAGTTATAGAAGGCTCTGGAATCTGAACAAAAGATTGTTGCTTTTGTGTGTAGTTTTCTCAGTCAAATGACAGCAGTGGAAGAGTTCAGCAAATCTGATTTTGCATCCTCTTGGTTTTGACCTCTGCAGCATCCATATTTTATTTATTGCTGGTCTGATGAAGTCATATGCAATCTATTCTTGAAATCATGGTAATTCTTACCATCACTTCTTAATAAGATTACCTAAGACATGTTTTGAAGCAAGGACATGTTCAGATTTGCCTCAGAGCTCTCAAATTTCAGCAGTGTCAAAGTCTTAACTCCTACACCGCGAATTAAGTATAGATTTTATACGTTGGTGTTTCTAAATGAAAAGCATTTCTGTGTTATGGATAATTAACCTTAAATTCCATACTTTAATATGCAGTGGTGGTTCAGAAAGCCAGACATCTGCGTTACTGCTGTGTTTTATATATGTGGTTCCCATGCTAAACCAACTCTGCTGACATGAGACTAGCTTGTTTGCAGTGCACGTTAGTTGTTGAAAGGCTTGGTGTGAATATGAAGAGGAAAAAAAGGAGTAAGAAAGAAATAAGTTGCTATTAACCAGCTTTCTAATGTGACGGTACTGTTACTTGCATGGGGAAAAACATGGGAGCTCCACACTTACCTTTCACACTGCCCATCCCATGGGGTTCTGCTTCTCAGAATATCTACAGTCAGACCTCAGTTCTCAGTGCTTTTCTATCAGATTTAAATATTTAGCTATTAACCAGTGCAGTGTAAGAATGTTCCCAATGTAGATTTGTGCTAACTTTCCCTCTCCTCCAATACATGCAAATGAGAAAATTGTCATTTGTCATGTTTATTTTAATGGGATTCTATCCCTTAAAAAACAATACATTTTGGCTGTTGTATGACACAACATGGATGACTTGAATCTTGTATTAGTTCATATTTTGATACGTGTCCTTGTTTTGTACCTAATCATATGCTATGATTGCTCACCTTTCATTTGAATAACTTGCTTACCGTTGGAGGGTGTTGGGTGGAGGTCTATCAGGTCTTGGTCATAATACAACATTCTGAAGTCCACCAGGAGCTCTGTGTGGTGATGGGTAGCTGCTGAGGTCAGCAGTTGGAAAGAGCCACACATGGCCTGGATGTTTGTCTCTGTCTTGGGCTGATGAAGGTCAATGTAACATAGCAAGGTTGGCTAAGCTCTTCAGCAGGTAGAAGGGGGCTTTCTGGCCTTAGGGCATCAGATGCAGTGCTTCTACCAACCTGACTGGTGATGAATAAGGAGACAAGGTGTCCATTAATAATGTATGTAGTAGGAACACAAAACAGCTGCTGATTTCAGGCTGGTATCTGGCCCTTAAGTATGCAGGTGTGGGTGATGCCAAATGGGTACTTCTGAAACTTGGAACCAGTTGGAAAACTCCAATATTTCTTATAGAATCATAGAAGGATTTGGAGTGGAAGGGATCTTAAAGGCCTGGCTTTGAATGCCCCCAGGAATGGAGCATCCACAACTTCCCTGGACACCTTGTTCCAGTGCCTCACTACCCTCTGAGTGAAGAATTTTTTCCTTATAACTAATCTAAATCTCCCCTCTTCCAGCTTAAACCTGTTCTCCCTCATCCTATTACTGCATCTCCGAAAGATGGAAAGAGACTTTTTAATGTACTGGAAGGCTGCAGTAAGGTCTCACTGAAGCCTTCTCTTCTCCAGACTGAAGAAGCTTTATTAAACTATTCAAAACAGCTTCTCTTAATTTTCATCACAATGCAGTTAGGATTTAATAATTTTTAGTAGGTAAAATTATGTTGGAAGCTGTTGTGGTATCCTGTTAAGTACCATGCTGTGCTGTTCACTTACATCATGCTTTTTACATTTGAAGGGGTTTTTTAGACGTTCCTTTTTCTTTTTTTTTCAAAATAAATAAAAAAATAAATAAATGAAGTGGTCTTGACAGCTGTTGGATGCAGTGTTACATTTAAAAAAAAAAAAGAAAAAGTAATGGAATGGGACTTACATAGCTAGATGTTGGCACTCTCACCTGAGTCACTCCAGACCCATCCACGTGATGTGCTCAGTGGGATAGAGGGAGGAATTAATTGATTTCTGGAGCTGCTGTTTTTAGAACCATTTTCAGAGAAATTCTTAGGACTGTGTGCTTCAAGCAGTAACAGCTCGAGGCGTGAGACTGCTGAATGGAGAACTGGTCCTCTGGGGGAGATGTCATAAGGTAATTCTGGCCTTCTGATTAGTGTTGCTGCTCTGTGGCTCAGGTACTGGGAGAAAGGAGGTAGATGGACTGTCCTTAACCTGCATTCATTTGGCAGCAGAGTTAACAGCCATGCCATTTAGACTGAGAATAATGCTTTTGTTGTGAGCTGCCTCTGGTTTGCTCTAGCTTTCAATGTCCTATTATTAAAAACTTCACTTTTTTTCTTATGTGCTGCAGCAGACAAAGTAGAAATTATTTCAGCTAAAGTTCAGTGACACGTTAGTGTTTGCAGCTTGCAATTGCTTTGTACTATCAAACATGCTTAATTTGCAGAATGATGAAATATTAACTCTACCTGAGCTGACAGTAGAATAAGGATGCACTGTAGTTCCTCAGTTATCTCTCTTCTGCACATCAGCAGCAGGTGTATGCATCTGAAGTTCCTGAAATACCACTCTTCATGCAGTAACTGGGTGGCTCTATGCCAGAACAGTTTAGCATATTTTGGCAAATTCAACTTCACATTTGCTCAGAAAATGACTCGCTTGAAACAGTTTACACTGAAAATGGGTCTTTTTTTAATATAATAATTACTGGGAAATTAATTAAGGTTAATAATTTGCACCTTAAACCATTTTCTTTCTCATTTATGTCTGAAGCTTGAACTGCAGTGACTTTCTTGAGAGTGATTTTTAAGATATCATCTCCACCGATGTCAGAAGGAGGGGTGAGGAGCAGAGTTCCTTCAGTATTTCCTGAATTTTAATTTTTAATAAATACTGCATATGTACCCTACAGTTCTTGTGGACAGGAGATATCTTACAGTGTCTTCTACATAAATGGCATTTCATACATGATGATTTGAAAACTAGATCATGATGCAATAAACCCCCGCTTTTTCTTTTGGCATTGCTGAGGGTAGAAGTGTGTGAAATAGCTGTCAGTTGTGTTCTTCATAATTGTTGTGACCAAGTTTAATTCTTCATTTTTGCCACTGTGAGATTTAGTGGTAGCTGACTGATGAATCTGGGTAAGGAGCAGAGAAATCTGGATAGCTTTCTTGCTATCTTTTCTGTTCATTCACAGGACATGGAAAAAAGGAAGAGCTGTTTCAGGAATACTCCTGAAATAGTTCACTCTTGTTTGGAAGGTGTGCACTTCTGTTGTGGTAGATAGAGAAATTGGAGATGATGTTGTTACCTTGCAGCGCTCAGTTCTCAGGAGAAAGCCTCTTTGTGGTCTTAAGTTGTTGTTTTGGTACAGAAAACATGGTACACTGTGACCAGCATCCACATGGTTGTACCGAGCCTCCTTATCTAAGTAGGATTTTAGATTGAATGTTTTGAATACTAGATACATTTTATTCCATAAAAACATTTCTTAAATCATAGATTATGAAATTATTTGATAGAAAATGATGGTAGACTTGAAATCAACTTTAAACAGATTTGTAATATTCTTCAATACTTCAGTAGCTCTCAGTAGATGCTAAGTCGGAATTGTTTAGGGAATGCAATGATTTTTAGGAAGAAATGCACCCTTTGTGAACAGTACTCAATCAGGATTCCTTTCCCTGCTGGTGCCCTTTGGATTGGTGTGTTAATGATTTGTGAGGAGAATGGCTTTGACGGTGCTGAAGGCAGAAGTGTTCACTTTGTGCTACAGACAGTACTGTCACGCTGCAGCCTCGGTGCTGGGATGATGGGAGCTACTTTTTGGAGAACCTGCTCAAGTCTCACCACCAGAGCTGCATAGTAGGCATCTCCTGCAACTTTCAGCTTTGTTATCATTTTTGTGGATCTCCATATGTTCTTCTGTGGCAACTACTGTTTTGCCTTTCACTATCTTCATGGATAAGCTAATTAGTTGAAATGAAATCACAGAATCGTAGGGGTTGGAAGGGACCTCCAGAGATCATCGAGTGCAACTCCCCTGCCAAAGCAGGATCCCTACACCAGGTAAATCTTTTTGATGAATTTTTAGGTAGGATTATAAGTAGACTCAGCTGAGAGAAACACTTGACAGTCGAACTAGATGATCTTAGAGGTCTTTTCCAACCTTGATGACTTGGGTCAAGAGCTCATTCAGTCCTGATGTATGCATTTATCAACCTGTGTAGGTTCCGGTCCTAAACAAGGACAGAGAAAGGATGTTGGAGTTGTTTGCTGTCCCTGCTCTATCTTCATTATGTCTGGAGTCTGTATTGTGTAAACTACTTTTATGCAGCTTGACATGAAATACTGCTGTCATGGCTTGTGTAGGAGGCACACCTTGAGTTAGCTGCTGGGGTGGTAATTACAGTGTTAACTAATAAACTTACAGCTTTTGTAGACCAGATATTGAGTCTACAGAATACAGAGCTCATAGCATAACTGATGTTTATCTACCACCCAAGATGGAATGAGTCTTGAATCTTTCTGCAAGTATTTCTGGTGGTCTTAATCTCTTCTGTGCCAGAGGCAGAGAAATAATGCATTCAATTTTGTCAGATTAAGTTTTTAACCGTGCATTTAAATTGATTAAATAAAGCAGCAGATTAAGGGGAGAAATACTATCTTAAATTGCATTTCAGAACTGATAGCATCTTAATGATGCTAAACCGAAGGTTTTTTTTTTTTTTTTTCAGTGGGCTTGTGGATATGAGAATCCATTCATCATGTGTGCCAGACTTGGAATGCTGCTATATTAGCAATAAACTGACTTGCTCACTTCACTGGTGCAAGTAATGGCCACACTTGGAAGTCGCTGCAAACGGAATAGGGAAGGTGCACACATGGTGTGTTCTGTCAAGCCCACTAAGGCTCCTGTTTGATCATGCTGGTGCTGAGAACAGACGTGTTGGGGGTTTTCCTTCGACACAACAACAGCGTCTTTGGCGAGTCGCTCTCCGACGGCTACATGACAGAACCAATTAGGGGAAAAAAGCCTGTCTCATGTTGTGCACTGAAATTCTGCTGTCTGCAGCCTTGTTCCTTCACCACCCCCTTTTTTTCTCCTTAATCTAGCTTTCGTCAGCCATCCATTGGTTTCTTTGTCCTGCTGTATGTGTGTATTTTCTTTCAGCGTTTTTCCTGCATGTAGTTCCTCCCCACCTCGCTTGTCATCTTTTTTGCTGTCTTAATTTGTCCTGCATTTCTTTTCCATCTGAAGAACTCTTTAAAAGGTGACAGGAAAGCAGAGCCGAAGCCAGGGAAAAGATCTTTCCCAAATATCTGCCTTGTGCAGGGAGAGAGGAAAGAACAAACAGATCACAAATGCAGCTATCATTAAGCATAGCAAAAAAAATAATGCTTTTGTGTTTTAAATGAATGCATAGAGTGTAGCTCAACCTACTCTTTCCTTTTCCAGATTTTTTTGTTTCTTTTGCACCTAAATTCCTACTTAAGACACACAGGATCTGTTTCTTTTTTGCTTAATTATGTATGTTTGAGTACATATGTTACATAAATGTTTTTCTTGTTAATTCTCATTACCACATTAGCTAGCTACATCTCTGACAAATAATATATTTATTCATCTGGGATGGTTCTTGCAGCTTGAAGAGGTTCCTTGTGACCCAGGTTTTGGAGAATTTTTATTATTAATAGTAATAAAACATAAATAAGTACCTATATATAAATACACGTGTATGTATGAATCATAGAAGGAGTCATGCTTTGTTTCGAGGCATAACGTGGTGCAGTGAAGTAGTCTGAAGCTTTGCAGTCTGTGTTCATGGTAAGAAATGCTAAGAGGTACCGAAACAGCAAGATTCTGTTAAAGGAGCCTTCCTTATGCCTGTGTTGCAAAGATTATTGGAAATTTGTCTAGCATGCTGAACATGCTGTCCTCTCTTCTGTTATTTCAGATGCTGTTAGGATGTAGGCATTTATGGAAGAGTGACTTCAGGCTCTTCCAACTGCAAATGCCCAAGCCATATGCTTGTGGAAATGCCCGTTCATTGTAAAGAGGTGTTCTGTTTTGCTTTGAGAATAAGCTCTAACTGCAGCCAGAACTTTCTCCATCTGTGGTATCACTATTACACTAAATATGCACCAGCATTCTTGTTAAAATCAATTTCATCTTGTGTATTGGAGCAGGCTTCTGTACAGAACAAAACTTCTGTGACTGCTGTCAAATTAATTTTGAATATCTTGCAGTAATCCCATTGGCATCAGCAAACCATTTTTTTGCTAGGCACGAGGTAAGTTAGTCTGTTAGTCTTCACGTGCATGCAGATGCTAACTACATAACAGTCCGTTTTCTGTAGGTACCATATGTGAAGTAGTTGCTTTA